TAAAATTACGATAAATACTAAACAAAAAAACATCTATAAAAGAAGAAAAAACCTCTGGAATTACTAGGTAGACGATTAGGTATATTATGTCGAAGAATTTGCCACCACAGCTATCTATAAAGATATTTCGTGATAAAATTGATCATTGCCAACAACTGCCGACCACACTCGACCTCAAGCACGACCCGCAACAAGCTGGCAAGCTTTTTAGTCTCACTTTGGAATCTGAACATATTATTTTTTAAGAACTAAAATTTTCATTTTATGGCATTGTCAAGGTCGGTTCCTGGGAGGGGGGTCATTATAGGGTGGCTGCCAACTACTCTTAGGGCTCACAAATAAAGAAAAATAGAAATTATGATATAAATTGAAATAAAATGAGAAATTAAATCCGAATGAGTGTCATTCGGCTAAACGGCTGAACTGGAGTCCATCTGAAAGAGATTTCACTTTCGGATCTAAATCTATCCATTTAAAGATAGCCAACTTCCCCTCCCCTTATGGACTAGCCAATTGAAAATTGATCCTCGTCTGGATCAGATCCAAAATCTCCCCACCATTATACATTATTAGTACAACACAATGTTTCTTCTATTTATTTTTGCTGACCTGGTTTCATACTTGAGTGTTCCAGGATGCCCCCCTTGATTTTTGTGTCCAATCTCAACGACTTCCTGGCAAAGCAAAACACCTAACAAATCGACAAATCCCAAAGCAAGGCCGTCAGCCAAGGACTAACCAATTAAAAAGTAATTACTTTAAAAGTGCAAAATCAAGCAAACCTGGCCTTCTCTGCAGTAATATCCGGTGTTTTGGACTGGTCAATTGAAACCCCCGACCCCCGGGGAATACCGGGAGTTTAACGTTTGAGTGGTGTTAAAATAAGACATTTCCCCSGGTAGTCGGGGGCACAGTCATTGTTAAAATCCCCGCTACTGTTGCCCCGCTATTTTGGTAGTAGGTARTAGTAAATAGCAAAACAAAAGACCTGTTAATTTTTGCACAATCCTGTGTACTCATTTGAGCACTACATAAGGCTAACTGGACGGAGAAAAACATGTGCAATAAGTTTATTTAAAAAATTTTTCATTTAAAGGAAGTCGCCAGCCTCATACATGTTCAAACGCGCGTTAAAATCTCCGCTCTTTGCCCCGCTTCGAAAACAATTCATCAAAATCCCGACCCCCGCGGCAATCTTGCTGTTAAAAGCACGTTAAAGACGCGTCACGTCCCCGTTCAGTGCCCCGCTAGCTCCGGGGGGCGGGGGCTTCAATTGACTAGTGCATTAGGTCAGCCTATCGACGACAGTTTCCGAATTAATGTTTAAAGTCCGACAATGAGGACTGGACGGGATTTCAAGTCCGCGCAATTASTTCCAGTCCGAGGCGTTAGCGACTTCTYATACTCATTAATTATTCGGGAGGGAATGRAAACTGCATGCAGGAGTATTCTTCATCGTGCAAGCAGCCTATACACTGCATGTATACACACAATGACATATCTACGCTACAAGGGACTGCGCAATAATTA